AGAGAAACAAACCCTTACTATGCACCATGTTTTTCATGGTCAAGCTGCTTTTTGTCTTCACGTCCTGGAAATCTGTATTGGACTGTGCCCTAAAGGTCAGAATCACTTTTCAGTACGAGCTGAGAAAGCTTCAGCCATAACCAGCACGCCACGGCTGGGAAGGAACCACAGCCCAGTCTGGCCGTGTCCACTGTTCTGTTTATGGGGAAAATCTCCACCGCAGTGCCAGGAAACAGATTTGCAGGAGGATCAAAAAGACAAACAAATTTAAAGATACCCTGATCCAAAATCAAGAGTCCATTTCTCTAGTGGGAAAACAACCACTAATGTACAAACACCAAGCAGCTTAGCATCAAGCACATATCCAATATAATAGGTTGAAGTGAAAACTAGTTCTATGCTCTTTTTTGTGGGAACCACTGGCCTCATGGGGCTATTGAGCATTTAAAATGTGGCCAGTCCAAACCAAGATGGGCTGTAAGGGTAAAATGTGCACAGAATTTCAAAACACAGTACAAGAAAAAGACCTTCTCAATAATTTTTAATGTTGGTTAATGTTTTGGATACATTAGGTTAAATAAAATATATTATTAAAATGAACTTTACCTTTCTTTTTGCTTTTTTAATATGGCTCCTAGGAAATTCAAAATCACACACATGGCTTGCACCATATTTCTACTGGAAAATGCTGTTTAGTGCATTTTCCCCCACAATGTATCAGATACTCAAATAAGAAACCTGGTTTGTATCTTCTGCGATGGTCTTTGCTCTTAGATACCATGAGAATCGGGGCTCACAATCAACAGGATGGAATTTGTGCACAGTGCTTTTCACGTTCAAATTATTTATCTAAGCAAGTTGGAAATTTGTACTGGCTTATGCTGTTCCTGTTAGAATAGTTTCACAGTCCAAAGGGAAAGACTCCACAGCTCTCTCTTCCATGTTCTCCAAAGCCCCGCTTCACAGTGCACACCTGTGGCCCTGTGACCCCGTTCACGCTCCTCACCTCATCAGTTAGCAGGAATTTCCAGGAGGGGCTGGCTGTGAAGCGCTCTGGGCCACTCTCCTCAGAGTGTGTGCACCTTGTGCCTGTTAGACTGTGAAGCCCCAGAGAGCAGGGGGTCTCAGTCCTGTTTCCACCTGCACCGCCTCTAGAACTGGTCTTCACATGCAAGTGAATGCATTTGATAAGTGTTGATTACATGGGTAAAGATGATGGTTTAGGGAGAAGGAAGAATTTCCCTTTCTGTCCTTGGTATTAGAGCAATTTTATTACATTAGGCAGGGACTGTCAACTGTGCTTTATAATTCATTTATTCAAATACCCAAGTGCCACTGGCTGACAGACCTGAGCTGCAGGCTGGGCACGCAGTGGTGGATGGAACCGGCACAATCCTGTCCTTACCTGGGAAGACGAGCCAAAGCACACACTTCCCCACAATTACAATAATCGGCATGTACCACCAGGAAATCATGACAGGGACGCTGACTGGGGAACATAATGTTGCCAGGGGTCAAGGGAGACTTGCGAGGAACCTTTACACTGGACCTGAGGGAACCGGTTGCCCGGCGAGGTGGAAGAGAAAGGGAAGGCTGACCGAGAAGGGAGGGCCTTTTAAGCCATGTTAAAAATTTTCAACTTAATCCTTAAAGCAATGAAAAGCCATTAAAGGGTATTATGCAAGGTAGTAATACATTTGACCAGATTTCCCTTTAAAAAATATTGCTCTGTAAAAAACAAATACCACATAATAATTTTAAAAATAAAAATATTGCTCTGGAGCTGGGTAAGAGTGGATGTGGGACCTACACAGAGCATTATCAATGGATTCATGAAAATTATTCAAACTCTCTTTGGTCATCATTTCAACAGACACTAACTTTCAAGAATATAAAGATGTGTCTGATCCACAATCACAAGATAGGAACACCAGAAAGCATCCTAGAGTATTAATCTAATACAGGCTGCTCTCATAGTACTCTCAAAGCATTACTTCCCACTGATTCTACCGGCTGGCCATGTCCATTGTCAACTTGAAGTCATCCTCTCTCCTGACCCAAGACAGGTTTATTCAGGATAAGCGCCCACCAAACCATACTGATCGACCAGCCCCTGGGGCCGCTGAGAGGCTGGGCTGTCCAAGTATTTAGCAAACTGTATGAGTTTGGGAATGTTCTCTGTGCTCTTTTATGCCCCCAAACTGGGTGCCTCTCACTATGTGCTAGATACCCGGGTCTCCTCCTCAAGGCCACTTGGGTTCTAAACAAGTGACTTGACTAGACAGAAGGGCACCAGAGCCAGTGTTTCCTCTCAAGGCGAGAAATTCATGGAGGAACTAAATCATATCTATGCTAAACCAATTAAGCACAGATTATACAAATTCTGTAGAATGAGTATATGAACTTTTGTTTTGTTCTGGACTATTCTGGGTGATTTATTTGCATATATATATATATCTGGGCTGCTCATATACAATATACCTGCTTTTATGAAACCAACCTGGGATTCCTCATTGATGGCTTTTCCTTGATGGCTGACATCCACTTGGTTTCCAACAGCCATAAAGCTAACATGCTGGCAACTACATAGCACATTTGGCATTCTATTAAAACTATCTTTCCTAAAAACTCAAGTCTTCCCCAACTACCTCTTCTTGCATTCCTTTTTATTAAAATAAAAATAAGTCTCAACCCCACAATTTGATTCCTTTCAGAATTTCTGTGGCACCACTCAAAAAGCAAATGACCCTTTGTACCTAAACGAAGTTGAATCCATCCTTCTCAGAGGCAGTATCATCAACCTAAGGTACATGGGCTCAGGAAGCAGTTAGACTGGGGTTCTAATCCTGGCTCCACCCCCTCCTAGGTGTATAACTTTGGGGAAGTTTCTTAAAATCTCTGGCCCTTGAGTTTTCCCAAATAAAACAAAGCCAGCCTCCTGCATTGGTTTTCTAGTGTTTCCATAACAAATTATCACAAATTAAAGCAAGAGAAATGTACTCTTTCACAGTTCAAGAGGCCGTAGCCCTGAAATCACAGTGTCAGCAGGGCTGGTTCTTTCCAGAGGCTCTCTCGGAGGACCCTCCCCCTTGCCTCTTCTAGCGTCTGGGAGCTCCCGGCATTACTTGGCTCGGGCAGTATCGCTCCAATTCCTGCCTGCGCCTTCACTCAGCTGTCTTCCTCTTGTCTCTGTGTCTTCTTGTCTCACAAGGACACCAGTCCTTGGATTGAGGGCTTACCCTAACTCCAGGGTGAGTTAATCCCAAGACCATTCATTATAGCTGAAAACAATACCTATTTCCAAATTAACTCACATTCTGAGGTTCTGGGTGGCCCTGAATTTTGGGGGGCACCCCAGTCAATGCACTATACCTACCTACAGCAGAGCATCATTTCATTGTACTTGGGAACACAGATGGGTCCCCACTGAGATTCTGCACTACAGTGGACATTTTCTATGTATCCTTTTTCTATGCCATGAATTGTTCAACTGTGTTTTATTTTTGCAATCATAAGAAAATGGTTACTTTCAGAGTTATGTCATGTATATAACTTGCACCCTACTGAAGATGCATTAGTGCTCAATAAATACTGTTTTTCTTCCCCTCCCCTCTGTTTATCATAGCCCTGCAGTGAGTTACTAGCACAATTCATGTATAAATCCTAAGAAAAAGGACACTTCAAAGTTCTTCATAAAGATCAAGACAAACATTTTTGTCCCTATATAACCATTTCTTATGGTGAGGCAGGTGAGCAGCAACCTTTCCAGACCTCAACTTATTACAGTTGTTTAAATACTAAGGAATACCTACACAGTTAAGGGGTCCTTGCAATACTGTGATTTCTGTGGAATATAAAGGTCATGAAAACGGCTCTGGGTAAAAATCAGAAACCTGACTTTTGCTATTTTTTGCCTAATTTCCTAACTATTTGGTCCACTGTCAGTTAAATGCCTGGTTCCTATAGCTTACCACTACATTTATTTCTAGATTTTAATTCTTAAAATAATCCCATATTTGATGTAGTTTAAGAAGAAAAACAAAAATAGAAATATTATTCTCTCACAGTTTGTTCATCTTCAAGACAGCAGCTGTGCTCTTAGGTAAACAAAGGGTGAAACTGCAGCCGACAGCAGGAGGCAGTAGAGAGCCAGTCAGCACAGCCTATTATGCTTAACTGCTTGCTCTTACCAAACACCTGCCCTTTTCTTGTCTCCTTCCCACTGACGCTCATTATCAGAGCACACTGAGGTTGGCACAGTGCCTGGACCATCTTCCCTAGGACCACCAAAGACACTGAGATCTCAACTTGCCAGTCCCAAAGAAACGAATCTCAAGAGTAAGCAGTTTTAAAAATATTAATGCATTTCACTTAAAGACATTCAGCCTTCAAGTTTCTATGCTCTGAGTTACGAACTGCTACACAGGAAGAGTAGGGAGGAGGAGGCTGATATGCTGGTTGCTTTGCTCTGTCACACCTCATGCCTATAGAGCTTGCTCCAGCTCTGCCTGGTTCTCTTTTCAAGGTAGAGTTCCATTATCTCCATTATACTTCCTTCTCTTAGAGCCTAACATTAGCAGGAACAAATGTTGATCTGTGGTATGCATGGAGAGCACTCAGAATTAAAAACATCCCTCCAAAGACTTTGGTGATGCTGTACAACAAAAACCTTCTGTATTTCAGAGAAATTATTCAATATCCTATATTTTCATGCCTTCTAGGAATTACTATTTATTGTAGTATTATTTCAATTTTTTGTTACAGTCCTTTGAAAATTAAAGTACCATTAATAACACCTTGCAGCTATCCTACATTATGTGCCACCCAAGCCTTCCACACAATGTTGTTTGTTAGATACACCACAAAGTGTTATACTTGAAGTCACTGAACCTCCAGAAAAGTGTGCAGAGGAAGCAGAAGTGCACCAAACCTAAAATATCTCTCAAAAAGAGAGTTAACAGTTACCCTGAGGGATACCCTGAACGTGAGTGACCTCTTACCTGGATTGGGTTGAAGGTATTCAATTGTTTTTGTCATTATTTCCATCACAGCCCTGCTGGTGACATCCACTTTCTGAAATGAGAAAATTAATATTCTAAGTGACAAAAATCATTACTTTTAGAAATTCAGTTTTTGCTTGAGTCAACACACAGCTACCAACAATGCAGCAGTAGAACGATGGGTGAGTCCTGGGTAGACGGCGAGGGGCTGAGGAGCTGGCGGAGCAATGACAGCTCTGCACCCAGCGTGTTCCCTCCTGACCGGAAAGCCTGCTCATCCGAAGAGGAAACGGGTCATGTCCTAAAATTTGTTTCAAAATATACTTCATTGACTTCTGGCAAAATAAGGTGGAGATGGCTTCCCCTTCCCATTAGACACCTGAGATGACCTCTGAAAATGGTTCAGTATTCAACTGACCCAGAAAAACCCACAAAATAACACAAATCAAGAATTTCAAATCTTCATGTTCACTTTAAGAGCATCTGTTAAAGCATGCATATCCAAAACCCACTAAGTCTCTGAAAAACGCTAAAATTACAGAAGAAATTACATTACATTACAATGCTCTGTCATTACATAGGGGGGTTAGTAGGTGTGCCCAGGCCAACCAGCAGGGCTGGATGTGGGTTCTGTGACCCAATAAGAGTGCTGGATTTTTGCTGTACATGCTTAAAAATGGAGAGAAATGCTGAACTTAAAGTTTTTGATGCAGATTTTTGGGTCGTTGAGCATGTCCAGGTAAACAAAACCCCAAGATGGGCCCTGGATTTATGGAGCTCACAGAGAGACTAGCAGGAGCTTGCCCTGCCACATGGAGATGATCCTTACTGAAAAAGAGCAAATTGTTCCTAAACCAGAAGAAGTTGCACAGAAGCAAAGATACCCTGGAAAAAACAAAACTTTATGGCCCAGGAATAAGTTCAGCATTAATAAATGTAAATAAAAGTTTAAGAAGTGGTGATAGTGAATCATATTTTGCCCCAGAGGCATTTACTAAAAATCTACCATGGGCCAGATATGGTGACAAGTTTCACTGCCCTAAAGAAAGAAAAACGTAGCATCAACTCTGTTTATTCAAGTAAGAGACAGAAAGTTTTTACTCAACTTTCGAGAGCATCCTAAGTATATAAAAATTTTATTCAAACACTTCTAATCTTTGAACTTTTGATTAATTCTAAGTAAAAGTCTTGGTGCTAGAGTCCATCCCTGCACAATTTTGAATGGTCAGTATTTGCATTAAATAGGTCACCATGTTCTCTCTGTATTGAAGAGGCTGTTCACTCTAGTCATTCCTCCCTATGTTCCGCTAGGAAATCCTTTTTTACCAACATGTCTGGTCCACTCACCAAGGGGTATCCAACCTGCGCCCCATGGGCTGTGTGCATCCCAGGATGGCTATGAATATGGCCCAAACAAACTCATAAATTTACTTAAAATATTATGAGATTTTTTGTGTGATTACATGTCACAATATATTTAATGTGTAGCCCAAGACAACTCCTCTTCTTCCAGTGTGGCCCAGAGATGCCAAAAGGTTGGACATCCCGGGGGCGGGGGCCCGGTAAATAACTAGTGAAAATAAATGCATCCTCCTCTCCAAGACATGTGCATATAATATATGATATAGGCATGAAGGAAAGAAATTCATCATGAAAGTAGAATTTCAGGTATCAATTAAGTCCATGGGAAGTTTCTGTTTTATTTTGTTTTCACTGGAGCTTAAGGGCTCTTCCCTCAACTGCAGAAAGTTTGTCAATAACCTACTGCACCTACTTATAAAATCATCCTTTCATTGATGTGGTAACCCTCCTTGTCTTTCATAATCAGAAATCAAGCCATAGCCCATCAGAAGGTTTTATCTTTTAGTTTGGTTTTTCAGTACTTAATAATTTCCCATTCTATGGTAGTCATATTATTGTGTGTATAAGGAGTTTGCTAGTACTGTGATTGACAGAGGAAAACACTTCTTCCTGTGAGGTTATCATGGTATAAAATTACATTAAAAACACCCCTACTTAAAACAACAACAACAACAAAACTCCTACTTAAAAGGTGCCTGCCTACCTATGAACCCTGTACCACATCCTCTTGGTATAAGAGTTTGTGAGATGTCTTAGGTTTGAGTATGTACTAAAGAGTATTTAGTTCTGAAAGTGAATAAGGGGCCTCCTGGCATTGTACGATGCAGGACATACACGGTCACATGTGGAGGTTCTAGCGATATTAGCAAATAGCCAGCCCAAAGTACTCAATGTCATGGAAATGAATTCAAAGGTTGTATGCGAAACAAATGTGCTGAAAATGCAGGTTACATGTGTGACGGGAGGAAAATGCATAATCCTGCTGACCATATGACAAGGGTTAAGGAATTTGGTATCAAGTTTACCCAAAGGTCCTGTGTGGCTATGACGGGAAGAAAGTAATTTCAAAGGTGAAGGTCTCTGAGGGTGCCACAGTTGTCCAATGACCATTCTGATATTCTGAAGTCATCAAATGTTAGGAGGCTAACAACTTCTAACTTTCCCTTATTGCTCTACTCAAAAATAATTATAATCAACACCATTGTAAAATGTTTTCTATTTGTCAGAAATTATCCCAAAGGCTTTAAATATCTTTACACATTTAATCCTCAAAAGCTCAATGAAATAGATACACAGAAGATAAGAAACTAGCCCCGTTCTGGCTCTCGAGTCTATGGTCTTAACCACTACTTCTTGAAAGTGTATGTGCCTCATAAAAAGACAGGCACCAGGGGCATCTCCCAACCTGAAGAGAACAGGTTGGAGCCGGAAGGCTCTTGGTATCATCCTCCAGGGGAGGTTTGGGGACCTGGCAGTGACCGACCACATAGGACCAGGAGGAATGCCCCTGTCACCCCATCTTCTGTTTTTGTTTTGAAAATCCTCAAAGTCTGTGGAAACATCATCCACGAGAACTGTTCTACCCCAGGCCTCTGTGCAAAGGAGGCTCTCCCGGCCATGCTCAGTTACACAGCTTCTCTGCCAAAGCTGGGTGCGGGCAGTGTGCATGCTAAACGGTCCGCAAAGAGGCTGCCAAGGAAGGCATGCAACGTGGTTCTCATTGTGGGTATGGATCCCTCTCCCCTCTCGGCTCTGTAAATAGCCAAATTACTCAGGCTCCATAAAGAAAAGCTATTGCCTTGACTAAAGCCAGTGGTCTCAGGGGAGGCAATGGTCACACTGGAGACACCAGTAATGGGCATTAAGTTTGGTCCCCAGAGTGGGATTCAGCAGATGGAAGTAGGAATTAAAACAGCTTTAGCATCCCCTGTGATCTGATGGAAATCTCCCAGGAAGGAGCCCACCCCAACCCAGATCTTGAAAGACTTCGTGTCCAGTGAGGCAGACTCCTAGTTACCTAATCTAGACATCCCTGTAGTACAAGCTCTAGCTAAACCTTTTTGATCAGAGCATAAAATAACATTCCCTTGGAATCTACCTCTGAAAACAACTTTATCCAATGTAATTATTAGTGTACAGCATTATCAGGACACACTCCAAAGAGGGAACAGCTCTCAGAAGATTCATTCACTAGGATCTTGCTTTTTATTTTTCTCTAACAGAAAATCGCATGAGAGAGCTAATAAACACAGTGGGAAAAAGGACTCATGGACATGTGCAACCATGTGGTGATTGCAGGGGGAGGGGAGGATAAAGGGACTAAAGGATAATGGGAAAAATACACAATAAAGATTAAATTTTTTTTAAAAAGGAAGCAGAAAAGGATGCACCAGTACACATAGCTACAAAATTTTAAGCAGAATAACAAACTGAAAGTTTGACATCAAAAAGTAAACTAAGCAAAGGGAGCCAAATATATGGTGGCAGATCATGATTAAAAAAAATAAGTAAATTAAAAACCAGTTATGAAACACAGACACAGACACACACACACACACACACACACACACACACACACACACACAGCAAAAAGGGACCAGTACAGAATCTACTCCAAAGCTTTAATTCATTAAATATGTGAGTCTGAACCTAGAAAAGGAAAGTGAACTCCCTGAGGTCACAGGATTTGTGTGGCTATGATGGGAAGAAAAGGAGTCCTAAAGGTCAAGGGTCAGAGGGTTTCTAAGAAAGAGTGAGAGAGGAACTGAACTGTTCAGTGACCTTCTGCAGGCAGAACGCTGGCCAATTTCTAAGTTCTTTTAATTTCTCTCCTCATTAAAAGGTCTGGGACTGTTTTTGCTAAGCTAATCTACACCGTGCCAATCAGGGACAGGCTCAGGGCCCTTGCCCTGCGGGAACCTTCAGTGTGCCTTGTTAGGCATTTGCTAGAAAAGCTATTCATAAACCTAATCTGACAACGTCCAGCACATACTCCCTTATTAACAGGCTTGGTTTAATTCACATGTACTAAGAAGAATTGCACTTAAATAATTTATTATAATTGGCAAGAGATTTTCCCATCTGAGAGTAGCACAGTTTTACTTTAAATTTACACCATATAGCTGATGTTTTCCTCAATGCCCAAAGTTTCCTATTACTTGAAAATAAGTTTTGATGTGTCCTAAACTACAACTTCCTTTCTTATGAGCTCCTGAGCCTCCATTTCTTTAACTAATCCTGCCTGGATAGGTGTAGGAAGCCATAAGAGAAGGATACTCAAAGGAGGTAAAACTTTAAATGCATACAAATATGTGCATGTTTTTAGGAAATAAAAACTCTACATTGAATAATATTTCCCCTGAAGGTAAAAGCATAGGCATGTATTCTTCTGATATTTTTTTTCAATTTTCTCAATAGCAACATTTTAGCAACTGTCAATACAGTTGACCCTTGAACAACACAGGGGTTGGGGTGCCGAGCCCCTACACAGTCAAAAACCACGCATAACTTTTGACTTCCAAAGACTTCACTTGTCCCTCAGTAGCCATGAGGAATTAGTTTGGACAGAAGGATCTAAGCCATCTCCACCCAATGACAAATTAAGTGTATGAACAAAAGGACCAGGGACAGCCTATCAGCCTCCCCCGACACCCTGCCCTGCAAACAACTCACCCTTTCTCAGTCTCACACGGAATGGCATTCTTTCTATACTTTCTCAACATCCTGCTTTTCTGAAAACTTGGGGCTGCCCCTTAAGGAGAATTCCTTTCTTATTAAAAATGGTCTATAAACACATTTCCAACCCTAAAATCCCTCTGGTTTCAACAGATGGGATTCGCCAGGATACTTTTCAAACTACAAAGAGACACCCTACACCCCTTGGCTTGGACTTCTGCATTACCCACACGGGGGGGTCAAGATAAAACTTCAGGGTTTAAGTTGGGTGCTCTCCCCTCTAAGCAGCGTCCACTGGTCTACCCAGCCTGAGCTAGTTCTTCCATGGGAATCATCCCCAGGACACCAACCACTATGTCCTACAAGCCACTGACTTACACGCTCACTTCTTCCATCAGAACTGGAAACTCCTTGAAGGTAGGAACCGTGCCTTAACCGTCTTTATATTCTTGATGTCCAGCACTAGGCCTAGCATTTGGAGGCATTTACAGATATTTCACGCGAATTACTGAACATAACTACACACAAAAATGAGGAATCACTGTGGCAACTGACGGAAATCGGAGAAGGAACAAGAGGTCCCTCAAATTCTAGAACTTCCTCTTAATAAAAAATCTGCAGCTTTCCAAAGAACAAATCCACACAATGCCTATACCATGATAAGAAATTTAGTTTGTGTTTAATGGAGCTTATAAGCAACAGATACAATTAAAAATGAACACAGAAACAATTCCATGAAAGGCACTTAAGAGGAGGAGGAAAATGGCTGTGGGCAGGGTCCCCGCAGAGACAGCGCCACAGCAGGAATTCCGCCCAATCAGCTCCGGGAGGGGACGGCTGCAGGGACTGAGACTCACGTGGTAAACTGACTGCATCTGAGCAGGCAAGCAGCTGGGGTGGCTGATTAGAGAACCGACCTCGAGGAATACCCACTTCCCTCCCCTGAAGAGTGCTGCTAGGTGCAAACCTCTAATTTATTTCATTGTGTTGTCTAATTGTACCTTGGAGAATAGAGCTGAACAACGGTCTCTCTACTCCAAATCCTTGATGATCGAAAAACTGACTGTGGAACGGTGATTCTTCTCTGACTTGGGTACTGAGCTAAAATATTCTGTGAGTAACAAACATATTAACAGGAGAGAAAATATTTGATATTCTAAAGCCAAAGTATTCCTAATTACCACAGAAATCTATACCTTTCCTGCAAATTTAGCATGGATAAAAAGTACAAAATTTTTAGTAGAGCCAGAGAAAAGATAAAAGATGTATGAAATAAAATGGAATAAAGCAAATTTCTACACCACACTGAAATCTAAATCTCTCAATTTACCTAGGTATAAACCCAAATACAAAACCACAGGTATGTTCTTTAAACAATTACCAAGAGTTTACCTTACTGCAGAAATATCTAGATGTTGAAATAAAACCTCTAGAAACTTATTTTCTAGGAAGTAGGAGAAATAAACCTTACCTTCAGACTCAGAGGGATGTCTGTGGGTCTTTACCTGAAGTAAAATACTTGCAAGATCCTCTTTTATTTGAATTAGTTTGCAAGGTTGGAATGGATTCAAAATCTTAGTTCCATTATAAACTTTACTCTGTTCTCCAAATTTCTTACTCTTTTTAGTCTCATTTAAAAAACAAAAAATTGGTTCGTTTTAACTTAAGCAGTGAACTATCTAGCTTATTACCTTCATCGTGGCAGATGAAAGTAGAACTCAGATTCTGACTCCTTAGTTCTAAGTTCCTAAACACCTGCCTCATCTGTCATTAACAAGAAGGCACTGGCCATGGGGAATACTTTAAATTCCCTCCAGGGTGGGGGTGGAGGGAGACATCAGAGGATAAGGGAGGACTCAGGAAGATCTGATGTAGACAGAGGCTGGTGCAAATTAACAGACCTACAGAGCTGCTCAAAATGAGTGTGGAACGCCAACACTGCAGGGAGTAAAAAAGTCAAACGCAAGTGATTCTGCACAGGTGTGTCAGTGTCTGGAGACTCAGACGCTGTAGAAGAATGGGTAGACTACTGTTTCCTGAACTATAAATAGCATGGCTACCCACTTTGGTTGATGATCAGGTGGTAATTAGAACTGTCCAGGGATGAGAAATGGGGACCGATGCAGAGATTTCAGTCCAATGGGGACAAGTGGCTGCCAGGCTTTTTTATATGAGCCTGGTTTCCCAGACCTCTGGTTGGAACTGACGGCTCTCATATTAAATCTCCTCTCCCTCGGGTACCTAACCTATCAGTGATGCCCATCTCAAGAACTTAGAATGACCAGCTAGGTAAGTACTAAACAGTCTCATTTTACAAGAGTACTCTCTTGGCAACTCATCTCTTTCTTTCTTTTCTTTCCTCCAGGAACTCTAATGTATCTTGTTCTCTCTTGTTCACTGTTTTCTGTACCAGAAAGACACTAGGCTCTGCTTTACTCATCCTCCACTTCTTCATTTAACTACCAGGAAGGACTTCCGTGACCACCCCTTCTAGGTGAGCTTCCTCTCTTCTAAACTTCTCCAGTGTCATGTTTCACTCCTCTTGCCACACCGGTCAGTGTTTGTCCAAAGTGTTCCTTCCCCATTAGACTGAGAACTTCATGCAGTCAGGTGCCTCGTCTATCTGGCTCACTGCCATATCCTCCATGCCTGGCTCGCAGGAGGCACAAGACAAGAATTTGTTGAGTGTATCAATGAACTCATCAGAAGAAAAACTGAAAAAATACATGGAAGAGTAGATCTAGAAGTTTTCTTTGTTTGACTCTTCTCACAAAGACTAAAAATAGCAAAACTGAGGCAGCCCATTGGAACTAATACAGGACTAACTAAAAATATTATTTCTGAGTATCATGAGCTTTTGACATCCTTTCTGTTCAAATACAAGGTTTGTATTTCCAGATCTTTTACCCATCTGCAATTTAACACCTAAAATAAATCTTTGCACAATGCAATACACACTCTTCACCACAGACCCAAGTATAACTTGCTAAAAAGAGTATCAAAGTAAAAAAAGAAAACAAAAAAAAAAAGAAAAAGAGAAAAAATGGCATATGTCACAAGAAAAAGGAAATGGGATATTTTGTTCACCACCTCTAGGTTCACTTGTCAAGAACCTACTTTTAGTGAGGATGCTAAAAGATTTACACTATTTTTAATCCCTAATAAAAGTCCCCCAGAAGGGATTTGTATTCTTATATGTATAAAAACCTAGAGGCTCCAAGCAATAACCTGACTTGTGCAGCGGCGGGGGAAGAGGAGCTGAAGCCACGGTTGGAGAGGCTCCCCCCGCGGCTTTCTCTCCAGATACCTGCTGCCTCTGGCGGGCGTGACCCTTTAAGGAAAGTCTTCTAAACCAGAAAGTGACTCAAACTCTCCCAAAACACTGAAGACATCATTCCCTCACATTCTCTTTTCTTCCCACCTCACAATTCAGTACCAGCTCCACATTGTCCCTATTCGGAAATGTGATGCTAAATCCATAAGGAAAAGTGCATTATGACATTTCACCTTCCCTGACATTTTGTCCTTGGGATAGTACAAAGGGAAGACAGGATATTTTGCATTTTGTGTTTTAAAATGGACACTTTAAAAATAGCATTTCTAAGAAAAACAAAATGTATTCTCAAGGTACCAGTGGAGAGGACTTTGCCTTCTCCTTTCTCCCTTCTCTTAGTACATAAGGAAATTTTATGACAAAGGGACCTCTATGTGGTGAAGACTTACCCTCTCCATCTCCTTGAAGTCATCATCTAGCTTGGTTCCTTCAGCTCCTCCAACCTTCTCACTCACTTTCTATGGAAAATAACCAAAAAGAAGAATTATTATAAAGTTCCTTTTAAAAATACATCACAAGTTTTAAGCACTTTCACAAACATTGTCTAGCATACTCTCTCAACCATTCTCTGACATAGGTGGGCAGTCCCATTTTCACTGTAGCTCCGATGGTTTCAATAGCTTACCTGGTAGGTTTTGAAAAAAGAATTCCAATTCTCTTGTATCTTCTGACTTCAACCCCACTGCTCTTGCTATTACACACATCATTATGGAACTATCTAATCACTGAAATTTTCCTTGGAAAGTTCTGAGGGCCAACAGCATCATACAATAACCACTTGCCTCTGATAACGGGTCTAAAATTCTACCTAGGTAGAAAACTGTTACTTCTTCAATCTATTACCCGAGGGCTACTGAAAAGATAATCACAAACATCTATCAAACTGGTAAGAAAAAAAATCAGCTCAGTTGATCTTCAGATAAAAAGACTTGAATAGCAGTTTTATAAAGCTCTCTGTAACTGTCTACATTCTTATGTACATAAGACAAACTATGTGGAGAGGTGTTGAGGGTATTTCTGTACTCCTTAATGTGAATTCCCACTATCATACATCTTATATTCATCAATTTACACATGCAAATGGCCATTTTCTACATGTAAAATTCATGTTTATATAAAATTTGATACCCTATTAGGTTCTGAAGTAAAAATTCAAATTAAGTCTAATAAAAATGTATGAAGGAGTCCAAAGAAAAATACTTTGATTTATCAAAGACAGGGATGTTAAGCGCTGATGACACAAGAATTCCATTCCTCTTACAATACTCATTTTTAAGGTATTTAGATGTTTTTCAATATGGCACTAATGTACTAGAGTTACCATCCCCAGATATCAAAGCATGATTTGTCATTTCCTTTAACGGCCACTGGGTTGAGGGTTTTTGCAAGGATTCCCACCATAACCAGACCTGTAACAACCTCAGTAACAACCTGTGTATTCTAGCAGGTTTGGTTCACCTCCTTCTAAAATGGCTCTTGAATGCATGGCTCTGTCTCCAGGCCATGGAATTTCTGATATGCCCTTATTGGGGGCTCGGGTATATCCCTTACCCTCTACTTTTCTGTCTTTAACTCCTGCTTTCTGCCTTCAGAAGAGATCACCCTTGGAGAAACCAGGAGTCTGAATTCTATTGCCACTCTGGCCCTGTATACAAGATACTGTTCATTTCACCCTCTCAGCAGTAACAGAGAGAATATGCTGCAATGACAGGCCATGTCATGGTCCGGTTTCTCTACTCCTTTCTAAGTACACAGAGTAGTTGTGAAAGTTAAATGGCATAATAAATATAAGAACCTGTGTTTGAACCTACAAGAAATGTGGTATATCCTACTTCTCATCTCTCATCAATCAAGTGTGTATCTGCTTACCAGTACCCTGGTCTCTCCCAGCCATTTATTTAACTCTTATTTCACACCTTGAGAAAAATCTGGCAATTTTCATTAACACAAGATATTCTTAAGTAGATTAAGGCCAATGATTCAAAGTAAAAGGTTAATACAAGCAATATTAACATTTTTAATTTGTATAACTGATACATACTTTCACTTAAAATTTATCATCGGTGTACCACAAGAACTATGAGAAATAGGTATTATTACTATGTCTCAGATGACGTAAATGACAGTTGCATAAATTAAGCTGTCTATCCATGGTACAGATCTTGAGCTAGGAAGAGGTGGAACCGGCACCTGAGTGCAGTTTTCCCAAGCCAAACGCTGGGCTTTAGAGCCACAGCGCCACTCTGAGGAGCTGTCCATGGTACTGCCATCTCTGCCTGAAGTTCCTTTAGGTTCGGCTGGTCAGAGAGAGATTTACCACGTTAACACTTGGTCCTTGACATCACCTCTCTCATTTAACCTGTGTCCTGGGTGATGTTATTAACTATTTCAACAGGATGCAGAGTCCAGGCTTCTTCTGGCATTACTAACACCTAACCTAAGGCCTGCGCCCACTGGGATCTGGCCCAGCAGTCAGCTTCTTGGCCTGCTTTCTTAAAGATGTTTACCCGAATGGAATTAGGGTTGGGGAGGCCAGAGAATTCAGTTTAAAACGTCATAGTGTGAGTCCATGTGCCAGTAACTTGACCTACATACTCAGGTTTTACTTCCAGAAAATCAGGAATCAAAAGGGCCTTTAAAATTATCAAATTTTCCCTATCACCAAGCAAATTTTTACTATGACTTTTTTTACACTGATTCCCTTCCTTTCACTTTGCTCAGTGATGACTGTTTTAGCTCATATTGCCACCCCTCTTGTGTTTTATTCTTGGAGTATGAGGATTTTTAGTTAAATTTGGGCTAGGAAACTAATCTAGTAAAACTCCTACACACTAAAGAAATATATATTGCACAACCCCCAATTAACTGTCTCTTATATTTACCTGACTGGTTCCAATGTCAGGGAACTATATCAGAGGGGCCCATTTTGGTGAAAGAGGACCATTACAGGCAGACTCCTTCTATGACTTATGAATGAGATTTAATTTTTATTTGCAAAATTGTCACAAAAACACAGCTGAGAAATGTCTCCATTTGTAGTAACACTAGAGAATTCTGTTAACTTTGAGCTAATCACATTTTGACCATCTCTAGGGAATACAGTATGGCCCTCAGCAAAACCACAAGGGCCATATCATAATTTCAATCCCATACTGCTCAACCGGGAATGAATTTAATTTTCTCACTTTTTTCATTCATCAGCAGGTTACAACCACAGTGGCTGGCTCACTGTACCAAACAGATATGAAATGGGATTACTTTGCCCATTAATAAATTAGAACTAGTCCTGGTAACTCACTCTGAGGCCAACCCATCAGTCTATTTGTTTTAACTATTTTGTGTAAGTAGTGTGTGTGTGCGCGCGTGCATGCGTGCGTGTGTGTGTGTGTGTGTGTGTGTCAGAAAGGGTGAGTGCAAGAGGGGATGAGAATAGAAATCTCTTTCTCTTCTTAACAAAAGCTGACATTTGAGCTGCTCAGAGACAAACAGTTCAGCAAACTTAGTGAATGAGGCAAAGGGATACAGGTACTAATTCAATTGGCTGGTCGATATAAAAATTTCTTATCTAATTAGAATCTTGGAAAAATAAGAGTATTCAACATGACATCTATATTGCTCTCTGGGCTTCTGTTTTTTTCAAGTCACAAAGGATCTAACTATATCAAGTATTGAATTAAACAATGGACTAAATAACAACTGACTCATTCCTTAGGCATATACTACATATTTTTTCCTCCTGTCCTCTAAATAACATTACTAAAACTTCTATATATAAAAGCCAAGTTAAGGAACACAGGTTCCCTAAGCCCATCCAGCCAAAAATAAGTTTTGTTTTCCCTACCCAGTACCATTCATTTAAGAATAACTTTGCCCTAATTTCTGGTGAGGTGATTCCTGAAACCAAGATTTCATAGTACTGAATATTTTCTGTTGCTATTCAGCATATTTCGGCTAATATGCTTATCATTTGAAATACTGAGTCCCTGTTTAAACAAAAATAAGCAGGTTATTTGAATTTAAAAAAGTGCAAATGGACTAACATGCCCCCGTACCCTCTAAAAAAATTCTCTATTCAAATTCCTTAATTTTACCCACTTAGCACAATACTGAGAGCTTATGCTTCTAATCTTACCTTCTCTTACATTCTACATGTAATATGTACTCCAACCAAACCCAAAATCACATCTCCCTCTATCTTATTCTTCATTGTAGTCTTCACAGCAGGTACGCAGTAAAGATTTGTGGAACTGAACCATAATGTACTTCCGTAAATATTAATGCTAAGATGACTGAGAGGAGGCATAAAGTGAGGCTGATCACCTCATTCTGGGATGGCCTTTCAAAAAGGCACAACTTAAAAAGAAACAAAAACTCATACTTCAAATTAAACATCTTAATTTTGAGTCTGCAGTAGTGTGCGATGATGACTTTTTTTTCCTTTCTATACCAAATGAAAAGGGGAACCAGCAGCAAGAGACAACTTAAATAAATGACCACTATACTCAGCCCAAAGGATGCCACACTGCTTTCCCACAATGACTCATCCTCCCCCTCATTAACTGTCACCACTAGGCAAAAGACACTCCATCCTCTAGGTACAGCTCTGATTCTTCTCTGCATTGCATTTCAATTATTAAACACTGAAGGGCCAACTACCATTTCTTTAACTGCTTTTCATAAAGGTCTCCTCGAAAATTATGTTATCAATACAATTCAACAAAAGAGAACAAATTCATTCAGACCCCACGCACCTGTGAAGTTACTTACCTCCTAGCTTCCCTGTTTTTGTTTAGCTTTATCTCTATAAACAGACAGATTTCACTGTCCACCCAATGTGTTTATTCCCTCTACCTTGGACCTGGACCTATGTCCCCTTTTTTTTTTAATGTTTCAGATTCTACCAATTATCTTAAATGCTCACCCAGATTTCACCTTTTCCATCACTTGAACACCAACCCTACCTGGAGGTTATCGGACCTCCTTTGCACTCTTAATGAATCACATCACCTTCTCAACTACCTGGAACTTGCCACCTGAGTAAAATTGCTGAGGACCTTTGTTCATCTGAATTATAATATGGTAATAGAGGCAATCATACTTCTTTGTCTGAAAACTTCTGAGACGGCATCACCTGAACATAGTGCTTGCAGAGCAGATACTTAAATTAATTCAGTTGAAAAAGAATTCTCAGTGAATTATTCTAAGACCAAAAATTGCACATAAATAAAAGGAAGATGCTTAACTATTAGTTATCACTGGTTCTGTGTCTCCTGAAAGTTTAGACCCGCCCAACAAAGTATAGTATCTTTTTCTCCATCAGCAACAGGCAAAAAACTAAAAAAATCCAATAAACTATGATATCTGATATTTTATTTATTGCCAAAGTTAAAGTTCTCTTAACTGTAATCAATCTATATTCATTCACCCAATTACTTTCAGTACAATTACAAGAGTAATG